GATTGTCCCGCGCCCAAATTATGAAGTTAACACGCGACAGTGACAAGCTTTCTTGGGGGTGTCTAACGATCGCCAGAGGCATATGGGATGTATCGACACCTGACAGCTATAAGTTCCTCGAGGGGTGCATAAACGATCGTCGGGCGTCAAAATTATAAAGTTAACACCCGACAGCGAAAAGCTTCGTCTGAGATGTACAACTTTAAGACTTCACTTCGGGGCGAACAACACTTAAAGTTTTCCTCTAATGGCCGACTCTTCCTCCTTTCTGTCCGAACGGCCATCGGAACTCAACAACTTTCTTTCTACGAGAAAACGACAGAATGACAGAGCAGATGACCAAAAATATATCATAACCAAGTGCGAAAAACGCCTAATATGGAGTATTATTAGCAAGTTACGTATTCAAGGCTCGTTTGATTTATAAATTTTATTGTTCTTATTGTAGTTGTCACAATCGAACAAGAAAATTGGAGAACTTAATATGTATACTCAAAAATGATTTGCACTGATCTTGAGGCAATCCAACAGTCAGCCACCTCGTTTCAGTCGGTCGTCCAAGCTCTCTTCCTTGGCCACCTCACTTCAGTCGACCGACCAAGCTCTCTTCTTCAGCCACCTCGTTTCAGTCGACCGACCAAGATCTTTCCCTCGTCCACCTCACTTTAGTTGAGCGTCCAAGCTCTCTCCCCCGACCACCTCACTTTAGTCGGCCTACAAACATGGACATGAAAGTTTGCATTGATCTCAATACGATCTAACGGTCAGAATAAAAAGGACTAAAATGTCATTTACTTCTCTCTTCAAGGCTTAACCAAATATGTAATTTTTGTGTCTTTTACCTCGCCTATCTTCTATAAATTTGGGGCTTCGTAGGGGGGGTACTTCTTTTGAGGCATTCATCATTTGCAACATCTAATTTTATGAAATGAAATTGATCCACAAGCCCGGGAACACTCTGTTTTCTTCTCCGTAAGTCTTCTTGCACTCTTCCTTTTGTCTCCATCTGTCAATCACTTTCTCTCGGTCAAATGTTTCATTCCATGGGCATGACACACCAGACAAATTTGAATCCAACATATATGCTACCAAAATCCGCTTTAAAGGAGCTCAACTGAAATGATCCTCCTCTCACCATCCAGTATTTATTATGACTCATCTCTTATACTTGTTGTATAAGGCTTGTTTGCTATTACGGAGGAGACTATTATCAAGGCTAGTACTCTCTTAGGTACTCAAGTTCCGATAATACCAGCTCAGTTTTTTGAATCTGTCAATGTTCATACTATTCTTTGGGGGCACCCCTCATTTGTAACATCTAATGTTATTAAATAAAATTGGTCCATGTGCCTGGGAACACCCGATTTTCCCCTCAGTCAAGAGAAGTCTTCCTCTCCTCTTCCTATTCTCTCCCTCTCTCAATCTCTTTCTCTCGGTTCAAGGCTCCATTCTTTGGGCACAACACACCAGACAGATTTGGATCCAACATGTATGCTACCAAACACCGCCTTAAAGGAGCTTAACTGAAATGATCCTCCTCTCACCATCCAGTATTAGTTGCGACTTATCTTTTTCACCTGCTGTATAAGACATGTTTGCTATTACGGAGGAGACTCAAGGCTAGTACTCTCTTAGCTATTCAAGTTGCGATAATGCCCACTCAATTTTCTGAATCTGTCAATATTCATACTATTCATTTTGAGGATAGGGCTGTTAAGTTAGTATATAATTTAGTTCCTCAAGCCAAAGGGCTAAAGAAAAAAAGGGAAAAAGTGGCAACTCTTTTGCTCCTTTAAGTGATTCCTAGCACCGTAACATGGAATGTGAGGCCTCCAAGCTAGAGGTAGATTCGTGATTGCAAACGGATGAGCCTGGAGCTTCAAATTGATATTTTTAATCTTTGTTGATACTAAAGTGAGTCGCTGGATTCTGTCAAACCCATTTTTCACAAAAAATTGACTCGTTTTTCTGATGCAGAAAACTGTAACAATTTCCATTGTAGTTTAGGTGGATGCAAATGGGTTAAATGGGATTCTTTACTTTTCTCTTTTTAGCCTATAATTTTCACATCACAGCTCATTCATGATGAAGTTCTTTATTTTGGCTCTTTACAGTTCTTTGCAACTTTTGGTTATGTAGAAAATGATGTAAATGATAGAAAAAATCTATCTTAACCTTAGAAATAGTGCTGATTCTATTGATTCTTATTATATCACCAAAAAATCTACATGACCAAACATGAATCTCGATGCAAGCTGAATAAGTACAAATTTAGAATATAATTCGGGATCATCTTGACTCTGATTTCAACAAATGAATCCACTGATACCCAAAATGATTCAATCCTAACACATCAAACATTTAGAGTATGATCAGAAACTTTGAAGTATAAATTAAAAGGTTATATGATCTATAAATTTGGCACGTGTTTCGATAAGAGGAATTCAACGAACCCAAATATCACTCTATTCTGATTTCATTACGAAACTTAAATGCTAAAGAAGAAGAACTATGATCAAAGAAATCAACATACACCATTCGATGGAGTGTTATGGGATTTCGGCTAAAAGCTAAATGCACATTCTTGAAGAGAGCGAACAGCCGTCAACCATCAGAAATTATCACCACCGCTACTAAAAGCTGTTATAGTTATGTTATTATTCTCAGACGGTTGTTACTTGATTTTGTAACACAGTTAAAGCATTGTAACCCTTCTTCTCCTCTTTAAAAGAACAGTGAAACTCTGTACATTGAAACATATTATGGATTACTTTGACATGGCCAGACCCCGTGATGTTTTCCCTTTCCTGGTTTTCCATGTAAAAATTCTGCTCTCTCTTATTACTTCTTTCTTTGTGTTTGCTAGATATCTATACTAAGCTAATTATCAATTTTTTTTTTGTACCCTTGAGAAATTCTGGCACACAACAATTTGCATCAGTTTGTTCTTGGTGACTTTAATTACATTCTTTGCAGGCAGGAAAAGTTGGGTGGAAACCCTATCCCTAGCAATAAAATGTTTGACTTCAAGTATTTTCTACTCGGTCTAACATGCACTCAAAAAATCTCATTCGTGCCCAAATTGATAGATTGTTTTGCAACATGAATTGGCTCAATATTTTTCGTCATTGTTCTTTAAAGCCATGCTCCCACTTTTATGGGACCATTCCCCTTTGATTGTTTATCCGGTTAACATTCAGCAAAAGCTTCATAAATTCATCTTCAAATTGGAGTTCTTGGCAAACCATTTTCGTATGTGGTTGTCTTTGTTCTGTTTATGAAGCACAATGCTGTAAATCTCTTCTTTAAACCTGAAGATGGAATTCCACTTTCTTTTTCTTTCAATCTAGCAGCAGAACATCTTCTACTTGTTAGAGAATGACGTGTATGATAACAATTTCATCCTTGAAGCTAAAGCTATTCACGAGAAATTCACTAAAACTGTCACTATTGAAAGAATATAGGTCAAGCAAGGAGCTAAAGAAGCTTGGTTAACTTAAGGTGATGATCTTTAATTCCTCTATTGCTCCATCAAAGGGAGAAGAAACGACAATCACATTAGGAAGCTTTTGGTGGAACAAGGGATTATTTCAGGGTTGAAAATATTGTGAAGTAAATTCTTCTATATTACTCCTCTGTTCAGTAGTAGAAATGTTTCTTCACCTATCTATATGGACATCCCCATAGGCCCTTCCATTCCCTCTTTTGAAGTGTGTTGGCTGCATTTTTCTTCCCAAGTTTTTCAGTTTTATGACGATTCTGGCTCTTCAGTTGTGTTACACAATGTTGGGAATTTTCTCCTAGGTGATTCCACCTCTTTCAACATTGGAAATTGAATTCTCTTTGATTTTTGGGTTTTTCTGCTAACTGGACCAATACATGATGCCTGCTTGCTATTCCATTCAACGCCAGCTCTGGGTGATGATATTTCTTTTATCTCTGAAGTCTGAACATTGTGAACAATCATGTGTAACCCAACTACATGCGGCTAATTCAATCCTTGACCTGTTAATAAATAAATTTGTTGATGATGGACAGTGCCTGCCTCTTACCCTCTTGGTTCAAGTCTATCACGGCATTGTTAATGGGTGTCTTTTTTATTTTCTTGGTTTTTTCTCATTTGCATTTGGACTTTTTTTGGAGTTTAGCTGCTCTTTCTTCATGAAATTGGAATTGTGCAAAGCTCTCATCATTTTTTAGAAAGATGTAAAAAAACTTAACTTTAGGCTGTGCTTCGTAGTGTAGAATTAATAGGATTTATGAATGACTTTAATATAAATCCACCCAAACGTAAAAAAAATGTGAATTAATCTGACTTTTTGCTAGACCTGATTATCTCTCCCTCCATTAATTTTTTGACGTAAAGCCGTGCTTGCTAAATCCAACTTTTTGTTGTCCTGAAATAAAATGCATAACATATCATATAGATTTAAGTGGATTTAATCTTAATTGGACCAAATATTATTATGGATTTAGAGCATCTGAATTTTCCTGACTTATTGGACTTACTAAATCCTAGGTACAACCAAACACCCCCTCAGACTAAATCTTCAAAATAGTCTTCGGGCCATACATGGGGTCATTTTTGTTTGAGAGTCTATAAATGTTTCACGTTAATCCCATACTCTTTTAATTAGGGCTAAAATAGTACTTCTTTGGGATTATTTCAACCCATATTTAAAGAGTTCATTGATTAAATTGACAATTTCATAAATTTTGGGACTATAATGCCCCCGTATAAAGACTAAGGGGACCATTTAAACACTTTTCTCATTAAATGTATATCAAATGGCAACTTGACACGTTTAAATTCTGTTCTGATATATTTCTCTTTAGATAAATGTAAATGGGCAATGTGAGCAATCATTCTTGATAACAATTTAACCAAGCAGATTATTAATTGCAAAGGAAAAAAAATATGTATTTGACTAGGCAACATGAATTTTTTTCCTTTAAAATGTAAAATAACTAGTTTGAACCTTATATATTTTTTTTTTCAGAAAATGAACCGAAAGTTGGTGCATATAAGTGTTGGATTGGTTTTCCTACTTTTTTGGCCTCTATTCAGGTGAGGTATTGTATAAATTCCAATCTTCTATTACAACTGTGTATTAGTTGCTTCCATGTTGCAGTTCTAGCAATTTGGCACCATTCCTTGCGGCTCTAGCTCCAGGTGTGAATGCTATACGTATGTTGCTATTGGGACTAGGAGTTTGGAAAAATGATGCCATAGTCAAGTCAATGAGCAGACAAGGAGACTACAGGTTCGCATTTTATAGCTTATTCTTGTACATTGTCCTTAGACTAAGTGCCAAAATAGTCCCTGAATATTTACATAGGGTCATTTTATTTCTGGAGTCAAATAAAATGTCGAATTAGCCTCCCCACACTCTTTTAATATGGGTTTAAATAGCTCCCGTTAAAAAGTTTGTGGACTAATTTAACATTTTTATAGGCTCTGGGACTAAAATGATGCCCTGCAAAGAATCGGGGGATCATGTTGACATTTTTTTCATAATCCTAATCTGTATGATTAGTCGATTATTCCCTTCTACATGAGCATGTCATGTTCCTTCGGTCTCACTACATTATCTTCTCCGGCTTTGTAGGGAGCTTCTAAAGGGGCCGTTATATTACGCTTGCACCATTACATTGGCTACCACAATCTTTTGGCGAACATCTCCCATTGCAGTATCCGCAATCTGCAACTTGTGCGCAGGAGATGGTAATGCTGATTGTAGTTTATGATGACATATATAAACTCTGGAAACTTAGAAATGTTATGGTAAAAATGCATTTGTTAGCCTGATTGCTTAGACTCAAATTGAAGTCTGGTTTGACAATTCACTTGGTTTGATACATTTCGTAAACCAAAGCTTAATGTTGAAGTATATAGGAAAGATGCATCTTTTGCAATTTTGTGATGTGTTGAACCATTGGTGTCCAAATTACTTGCCTACGCAGAAAGGTTCCCATGTTGTATTTGATACTGTTCCACACATATCGACTCATTGATACTTTGATAAAAACTATTAATATTCATTTGAGAAGTTAGTATTGTACAATAAAAATTACAATTTTATTTATACTATTTAGCACTTAAAATATTATTATTTACAAAACCAGCACCTTATTTCATCCATATTTTAATGTCTCACGGAAATATCAAAGTTTGCAATAAAACACCAACTCTTACTCCTTTCTTTTATCAAATTCCCAATGGTTCAAAAAAAATTACATGGTGCTATCTTTGTAAATATATAAGTTTTGGATGCTATGTATGTAACTATCTCATATTCGATTTCAATTTCTATCATACTTTTGAAAGTGATTGTCTTATAATATTCTGAATTCAGCTTCAATCCTTGCATGCCTGACCATAATTTTCAAGAATTATAAAGTTTTCACGAAGTTCCATATCCGTAGCAGCAAATCTGTTCATTCATCACGCAGTCTTAGCTCCTTTATATCTTCTTTCAGGCTTCGCCGACATAATAGGAAGAATGTTTGGAAAACACAAGTTGCCTTACAATCCAAGCAAGTCCTTCGCAGGTACCATTGCCATGGCGGCTTCAGGATTCTTAGCATCTATCCTGTAAGTGCAAGCTGGAATGAATATATCTGTCAACCAAACAAATTACAATTAGGGTGGTCAAAAAAGCTCGTCGTTCACAAACAACTCGTTTTTGGTTTGCTAAGTTGCTCGCTTTTTATTTGTTTGTCAGACAAGCGAGCCGGACACGAACAACAAACTATAAAACACAAGAAAACTTTTATTCAATTGTGTTCGGCTTTTTTTTGCTCATATTATATAAATAATTAAATAAAAGGGCATTTACGAACATAGATTAGCGCACATTTTTATGTATTTACATATCTCACACCTAAACTTTCATATTCACACACATAGCACTCCAATCTCTTTATATCACATAAAAAGTAGTACTATTATCACTTTTTAAAAGTGAAATACACATTTTCATGTAGAAGTTTAAAGCACCAGAGTGCTATGTATCAATGAAAGTTTAGGTGTGAGATATGTAAATACATAAGAATTGTGTGCTAGGTATGTAAATTTCCCTTAAATAAATTATTTTTTTTCTATTATATTATTTTATATTAATTTTTTATGTTATGTTAAAAAATACAAATTTTATTATTTTTTACATCATTCGAACTAAGCTTGAGCTGAACATTATGTGAAACGAACAAATGAATTTGAATCGAGTCGAACACAAATATGTCATTCACGAGCTATTTCAAACACGAGCCTATTTTAAACTAAAAAAAAAGAGAAGAATTATGAACAAGACGAACACATACAAGCATTCTGCTCGCTTGAGCTCGACTCCTTTAGACTTTTAATTACAGTCAAAATGCTTCGCCATCACATTCCAGGTACATGCATTTCTTTGCTTTATTTGGATATATTGAGGAGAGCTGGAGCTTGGTCTTGGCTTTCTTTATAGTATCAGCAGCTTCTGCAATGGTGGAGTCATTGCCGATCAGTTCAGAGCTTGATGACAACTTAACAGTGCCTTTGACATCTTTATGTGTTGGTGCTGCGATTTTCTGATCCAGAATCTAAGGGAATAAGACTCCAAATTGGATTAATCCTGTGATTTTCTGGATGAGTTGGTAAAACTGGTAAGAGGTAGTACATTTTTTAGCATTAGAAATGAAGAAAGGATTGTTGTGATTTGTTCAATGTCCACACCTGTAGCTGGTTTTTTTAATATATATATATATATATATATGAAAACCAAAAAAAATGACTATATATACATAACACATCATTAATATAATGGGATAATAATGAATCTTTTTTTGTTGACATAGACTGCCAACTATTGCATATGTATTTGGTATCTTTGAAATTTTGATTTTAGAGTTTGTTACAAATTCTGATATATGCTAACTTTCATAAAGAATTTCATTAGTTACTTCTATCAAACTATAGTACTTTGAGCTAAAAAAAATCGTGGCTTGTCTTCCCTAATTTTAAGAAATCTAGAATAAATGCTAGGGGTTTGTTATGTGTTAGAATATTCATAATAATAGAGAGTTCAATTTAACTTTGTAAGAATTATTACATAGACAAGAGAATGTTGTGAGGAAACCAATATTTTATATAAAAAATCCGGAATGAAAAAAATCATTGAACATCTAAGTAAAAATAATCTATCAAGTTAATAAAATTATAGAAGTTTGCTTATCCCTTTTATTTTATGAAATTAGATTTCAAAATTAGAAACACATCCACTATCTTGATTTTTTGTCTGTAGTTGAGCTTATTTGAGAACTAATAATTGGTAATAATAGTTGGAGAATGATGATCAAATGATAACAATTAGATGACTTGTTTTTTATACTTATAGGGGAATGATTTGGTTCATAACTATGACTATGAGGGGAGTTTTTGGATTAATATCTAGATTCATTTTTCATAGTTTTAATATATCATATTTCATTGTGGTTGATACATCCCTAAAAAATCATAGTGATTCGTAGGAATCTCGATGCACATTTAGACCAGAAGCCTCAAAAATTAAATTTGGAAATCTCTATACTACAATTTATGTCAAGTGAAGTGTTCTAGTGAGACGAACTAAACGACATAGAAAATAGTTCTATTTGAGTCAAAGTGAGCCCAGATCATGCACTTAAAGTATAAAGAGAAGCTTTGGAACAGGCTTCGAGGGATCAAATAATCTCCAAATATAACAAGTTCATAGTCAAATTGATCGTCTCGACGAGACCAATCGAACGAGCTTAGGATCACTTAATTATTGCATCCTTAAGGTATTCAAATACTCATAAAATTATATCCGATCATGGGAATCTCTCTAGGTCATCTGATGGAGTGATCCAAATTCATGCAGTATTTATAGAGGATGAGACTGCCAAAATCCATAAATAGGCTCCTATTTTTTTCATGAAGAGGGACTTGGACTAAAAGGAGAAGGCTGAAGGAACTCAAAACTCTTGAGGGTTCCCGAGCTCTACCATTGCCAGACCACCGTCGTTGGGTGGCCCCTATTGTTGGACCACCATTGCCTGGCCAACACCGTCATCGCCGCCGGCCCACTATCATCTGGACGCCATCACTACGGTACCACTGCTGCCCGACCATCTTCGTCATTGCCGCCAAACCAATGTTGTTTGGTTGTTACCGCCCGGGCACCACAATCGCCACTATCGTACCATCGTCGTTGGTTTATGGTCCTTATTGAATCACCGTTGCTTAGCCATTATTGTCATTGCCCCTGAACCGCCGCCATCCGACCGCCGCTTCGCCACTCCCATTGTTTCAATAGAACCACCGTGGTTAACGGCGACGCTAGCATTAGATATTTTAGCACATGACTTGTATCGTCAATCTTCATAGCAACCAGGCCGCTGTCGTCAGGCTGTTGTCTTTGCCACTGTCAAACCGCCGTCGCCAAACCATCGACTTCAAGTCCTCCATCGTTGGGTTGTCCTCGCTGTGTCGAATCACCAATGCCCAACAACTGTCGTTGTTGTGGTACACTGTCGCTATCACCAGATCATTGTTGTTCAACCGCCATCGTTGTCATGGTGCACCTTTATTGTCAAATCGACATCGTCAGAGCACCATTGTCTGGTTATCATTGCTAATGTTGTTGGATCACTGTTGTTTAGTGACCACGACCATCGTTGATAATGAAACTCGATTGTCATTACATAGCCCTTGTTGTCAGTCTTCCCTCGTCGCAACCTAGTTGTTGTTACTTCCCCAACATTTTCTGATACTCTTCTAATAAAAGTCAAGTCAATTTCTCACACTATTATAATACTTTTTTCTTTTTTTCAAGGGTAGACAAAACCTTATAACATACATATGAATTTAATTGGGCTAGGCCTCGTAATTTTTTTTTTGTTCTCAATGTAAAATCCTCTTGTGTCCCATATATTAACTATTCTTTTATGTGTGTGTGAGCTGGATTTTCGTACATTGCTAATATGTTAATATATCACTCTATCACTATGAAAATTCTCTTGACACACAATAGTGGTAGATTCTTGTAAATTTTTTATTTTATATTTTTATTCTTTTTACTTGTGATCAAGAGCATTGAAATATAAATGGGAACTTTGAGGTTTATAAAATTTCATATAATCCTCCACTAACTTTAATGTAGTACATAGATTTTAAAGAAACTAAAGAGAGTTAGTTGTATTAGTAAGTGTTGGTTTAGGCATTCAACTTTTTTCACATTAAAGGAAGCGATGACCCCTATTATGCATCATTATCACTTCTAATGGCTAAGGAGTCAGCGCCATACACACCATTTGTTGATGTTTGTACGCGCTACTTACCATGTAGATTGTCGAAGAACTTTCATGCCATTGAAGCCATTCCTGCATCCACAAACCTTCATTTTATGAGTCAAATCTGAAAAACGATTCCTCTTGAAGAGAGGTGAAAATTATGATATAAAGCCATCATTTTCTAATAAATGTGAGTAAATAATTCTTTCATAGTCATTTTTATGAATCTAATCATCTAAGTTTTGATATTTAACTTTTAGCTGATCTAAGTTTTGACAGTAATCACAACCTTAAGTCTATTATGTCTCTCTTTGTTAAAGTTCCTGGAAGAGAAAATATTACATATGTTGAACATATATGCGGAGGTCGATACAGATACGTGAAAATCTCAATGTATTAAAGTAATAGCGCATCTTCATCATCTTCTGCACGTACATTCAATGTATGTAATATTTTCACCAGCCACACAGCTTTCTTATCCATCTGTATACAAACATTGCAAGCCAAGCTGTACCTTATCTGATAATTGGTGGATTTCAATGCGCAAGAACTTCGTCTATAATAGATGTGGAGCCGACGTTGCTGCGTACGAGATGAGTGCAAATAAATCAGAATATCATCATCTGAATAATGCCCATCTAATCATAATTTTATTTTTTGTCTATCACGTGCAGCATCAAAATAATTCATGTTTGTTAAGCATTATGAAAGTTGATGGAATGCATAGTTTAGAAAAAGAATCTTTGATCGTAGATAGATAAAAAAATTTATCATGCATGATTGCACGGGTGGATGGTTGCAGCGCTCCAGCTGTCGGAAGACAATGCAATCGTGCGCGGTGTAGGTTCATAGCCCGAGAGTACGGCACTACACCGCCCCATCGTCATCAACCGACTTTAATAGTTTTTTTGCTTAAAGTTTCGATTTTGTTGATGGGAAGGTGTGAAATTTTGATTTTTTTGTGTGCAAAGTAGATTAGATCAGTGCTGTTTTGGAGTATTCTAATGCGTGGAAAGATTTAAGTGTGGTGTAATTTGTACATTTCTCCTCATTTTTTTTCAGTGGATATCTTGTTTTGGTGCAGCTCTTAGTTTTCTCTTGTTCCCATGTTTCTTTTTTCATATTAAGTAGGGTGTTTTCCGTGTCTTTTTTGGTTCATATATCTTGAATTAATTTCTACAATTTAACATCCCCCAATAGATTAGATGGTTTTGTTGGATGAATTTTATGGGATGTGTGTGCCGGGATTTTAAAAATGCCTCTAAATGTTGTTTTATTTTATTTTTTTATATGTTTAATAAATGGTTAAATCATTATAAAATTTGGGGATATTTGATTCACTCATAAATTTATTATGTGTATCCAAAGTCACTTTCATATAATCATTATAGTGGACACATTTGTTGTTTTTAAATTTCAAATTTAAACATTTTAGTATAGTTTCTGACTATTTATATGAGGTCATTTTAGTCACAGAGTTTATAAAAGTGTTAAATTGGTTTTCATACTATTTTAATTTTAACTAAACAATTTTTTTATGTGGATTATGTTAGCCTTTATTAAAAAAAAAATTGTATATTTTGGAATTAAAATAGTTCCCTTAAAAAAATAAGGGGATAATTTTTTACATTTTTCTCCTAGACATTTAAAAAATTCACTTACAATTAAAAAAAAAATCCTTTTTAATCTAATATGCATTGATTGGAAGTACTTCATTTTAAAGCATTAGCCAAGTTGTACATTGATAAGGTATTTATGCCTTTAAAAAAGATTTTTTTTTAATTAAAACAATAATATTAGGGGGTTTCAGTTCCATATTGGATAATATTTTAAGCTTTTTTTAATATATATATATAGTTTTATAAAAATGTTTTCTAAGAGTAAAGCTATTATCTTTATGATTGCCATGATCTTTAATTTAAAGAGGATAATATCCTATAATTATAGTCTAAAAAATATAGTGAAATTCATATTATTAAATATTTATTATAAACTATTTATTTTGTTATAATTATGTATCATGATGGTATATGCTCTTTAATGTGATCAAAAACACTAATAATTGTTAGAAGGATTCCCCACAATAACTTATAATTATTTATTTCCTTAGTGAAGAATTTCTATATTTGTATGGTAATGATCCACACCACGCAGATTCTTTAATAAAAATTTGAACATTCAAATGAACCTATATCAATTAATAAGGAAATAAATAACTTTATTGATTCCAATCATGTTGCTCTCATTTAGCACATGAACCTAGTCATGACATAGTTTAAATCTCCCTATGATTTCATGAAAACATAAGGAGTTATAATAATCAAAAATAAAAATCATTCCATGAGGCTTTGGTGGAGAAAAACAAGTATTAAAAAGGAATAATGATCACATAGATATTGTGATGATGAAGATGTTCATAGGCCAAAAGCATATTTTGACAGCTAAAAATAATGGTGGAA